ACCGCCCGCACCAGCCTCGGGACTGTCCCACGCCCAGCAGGCCTTTCCTTAGGGTGTCTGCTCAGAACCCAGAATCTTAGAAGGTCGCCAATCACGCAGTCCTCAAAAGCACTGTTTACTGTCGGAATGCTGGCGCCGGAGGCCGCGTGGAATTGATTTGTTTTCGGTATTGGGGGCTGAACCCAGGACCTTTGCGCTGAGCTACAACCCTAATCCCTTTCTTTCTTTCTCCCTAGCCCAGTCTTTTTATTTATTTATTTTTTTCCCAATCCTTTTATTTTTTTGACACAAGGTCTTGCTAAATTGCTCAGGCTGGGCTCAGATTTTCTGTCCTCCCCCCTCAGTCTTCCAAAGTGCTGAGATGACGGATGCACACCACCACGCCCGTCTGACTTTATTCTAACAATGTTTTCCTGTGTCTCTGAGATTCTAAAAGCCCTGTTTTGATTGCTTTAGTCTCTGCTTTCTGAGGTTTCCCCTCTCGGAGCCTTAAATTCTAATAATCCTACTGTGTGAACTGTTACTTGTCTCCGTTTTACAACTGGGGATTTAGCACAGTGGCGCCACCACCTGCCTCTCCATTCTACAGATTAGGAAACTAAGGCACACTGATCAGGGTCAGCCAGTGGTCTTGGCTGAACCCTCAAAGCCTGATTGCTTATTTGTTCTTATACCTCCTCTAGACTTTCAGGACAGTTCATTCCTGGGATAGAAAAGTGGGGCAGTGAGAACTGTGGGCTATCAAGTTGGAAAATAACAAAGTGTCCCCAAAACAGAATCTTGGGTTTAGAACTTTCCAACAGTAGACTCAGGCTGAGTACAGGATCTGTGGGATTTTTTTGTTTGTTTGTTTGTTTGTTTTGAGACAGGGTCTCACTATGTAATTGAGACTGACCTAGAACTCACTATGTAGCCCAGGCTGGTCTTGAACTCACAGTGATCCTCCTGCCTCAGCCACTGAGTGCTGGGATTACAGACGTGTGCCACCATGCCCGGCTGTGGGATTTTTTAAAAAATTGGTACTGGAGATTGAACTGGGAAGCTTGTGCTTGTGAGGCAGGTGATGATACCACTGAGCGAAATTGTTGGCCCCTTCATTTTATTCTTTGAGACCAGGTCCTACCATATAGTTCAGGCAGACCTAGAATTTAATATGTAGCCCAGGCTGGCCTTGAATGCACAGCGATCTTCCTGCCTCAGCCTCCTGACTGTTGAGATTACAGGCAAGTAAGTGCTGGGATCTACAGAACTTTAGTTACAATTTCAGGGTCTTCACGGTTTTAGAATGGAGGCCTCAGAGTTTGAAGGGGACTCTCAGAATAGCTAGTGTGGCTTCCTTCACTGTGGGGAAACTGAAGCCTCCTTGAGCTGAGAGGACTTGGTCAAATTCACACACTTCCAGTACACCCAGATGAGCCCCAACAGGTTCTGTTCCCGTGGATTCCCAGACAGGCCAGTGTCAGCATGCCCCAGCCCGCCCTGCTGCCCACCTCTGGACTGCCACAGCCTTGAGGTCAGGGCAGCAGGAGGTGACAAGCTGGCGGGCGTGGCGGGCACCATGGGGATGGAGGTGATGCTGGCTGGACTGGTTCTTGTTGCCCTCAGTCCCTGCCTCCCATTGAGCTGCAACCACAGTGGCCCATCCCACTCTGGTCACCTCCCTGTTTCCTCCTTCTCTGGGTCGGCCAGGCCTCCTCTGGGTGGGGACTGCAGGGGGAGGGACCCGAGCCTTCATCTCTGGACCCTTCCAGAAACCGTGCAGAATTAAAAAGCTAGGCCCTGGTAGGAAAGGGAAACCTGGGGCAGGGGACTTCTTGGAGGGGAACCTTGGACAGATGCACCTGAGCCTCACTTTCTTGCTACAAAGGTGGTTTTGATGGTGAAGTAAGGGCCGAGTGCAACCCCCTTTAGCACAGTGGCCCCTCAATTAGTGGCTGTTGGTTTTATTGCGTGATGTTCCTGCTCACGGGCAAGGGTTCTAGTACAACACAGTAGGCAGCACGAGAGCTTTCAGAATATCTCCAGTGGCTAGCAGTGCTCCTGGGCTCCAGTGGGCACTCAGTGCAGAAACTCATAGTTCTTATTTCATCCTCTGACCCTTGGCACATAGTAGGTAACCAACAGGTACCAGTTGAAGAAACTGCTTCCTCTCCCTTCCATCCCCAGCCTTTTTTTTTTTTCAGATGGGTTTTGCTCAATCGCCCAGAAGTTGGGTTTAAACATGTGATCCTCCTGCCTCAGCTTCCCAGGATGCTGAGATTACAGGCGTGCATCACAGGCCTGGCTAGGAATTGAGCCATTTTATCAGGGCTGAGGATAAGAGATGGACAAGGAGCCATGTAAAGAAAGTGAAATAACGTTCAAGACCAGACTGGGCCACGTTACATAGTGAGACCTGTCAAAAAATGAAATAAAATGGACTGGCACTCCTGGTTTTTGATCCCCAGGACTGAGCTAGAAAGGTAGAGAGAAAGAGATGGGATTGTTTGGAGTCTTCCAGTCGGGTTTGGACTCCTAGAGCCTGTGCACTGGGCTTTGCAGGAGCCGACGTTTCCCAGCCAGGGCAGCGGAAGGGCGAAGCGCTCACACCATCCTGCTCCCAAGCCCGGGTTCCGGAGGCGGGGTCTGAGCCGCTTCCCCACTGCGCAGGCGCCTCGCTGCGGCCGGCACCATGGACAGCGAGGCTTTCCAGAGCGCGCGGGACCTCCTGGACTTGAACTTCCAGTGTGAGTGCGGGAGGGGCGGGG